TTTCATCACAATCATATATCACAAATTGTTCAGCCATTCCCCAATTGGTGGGTATCTATCCCTTCAATTTCTAATTCTTTGCTACCAGAAAAGAGCTGCTATAAATATTTAGGCATAGTTCCAAATTGTTCTAAATAACGATTTAATCAGTTCACAACTCCACCAACAGTGCATTTGTGTCTCAATTTTCCCACATCCTCTCCAACATTTGTCATTTTCCTTTTTTGTCTTTATTAGCCAATCTAGTAGGTATGAGGTAGTGCTTCAGAATTGATTTAATTTGCATTTCTCCAATTAGTAGTGATTTAGAGCATTTTTTCATATGGCTATAGATTCTGCTGGCCAATTTTCTGATCATCTCAGGGCACAGACTCCAGGGCACCTGATCAGAGCTCTTCATACACTAAGCTTCCTGATGGCAGAAAGTGAAAAAGAACTGAGAATCCTTTTGCTGAGGGTGAAAGAGGAGAGTGTAAAAGCTGGCTTGAAGCTTAACATTTAAAAACTAAGATCATGGCAACTGGTCCCACCACTTCCTGGCAAAGAGAGGGAGAGAAAATGGAAGGAAGCAGTGTCAGATTTTCTATTCTTGGGCTCAAAGATCACTGCAGATGGTTACTGCAGTCATGAAATTAAAAGAGGAAGGGAGGAAGGGAGAGAAGTAGAGACAATGAAATAGTTGAAAAAGACAGTGAACTCAGTGACAGAAGAACCTCGTTGAGGGCAGGCATCGTCTCACTTTTGTATTTCTACTCCTAGTGCCTAGCTCAATTGCCTAGCACATTACGGGTGCATAATACATGTTTGCTTACTTGCTTGGAGAGATCAGTATGGAGATGGTGAAGACAGAACCAAAGAGAGGAGAAAAATAACCACTTTCTCACTGTATAGAAAGAAGCTACCGACCCCAAGTATCTCCCCAAGCATCAGTGCAGGGTGCCACCTTTTAGGAAGGACATTGGTAAGAGGGAGTGTACAACTGAGGTGTCAAACATGTAGCTAGTGAATCACAAACTAAAAATGTAATTTGGAATACTTTTTAACCAGAAAAAATACAATAAAACATAATGTTAATGTGTGGTTTTCTAAGTCAATATGCCCCCCCCACACACACAGACATACACACAGAGAGGAATCCATATATATAGTTAGTGGCAGCATTTCTTTTTGAGCTTGACACTACTGCTATACAAGATAGTAGATAAGTGGGTAAGATAGAAAAGGTCACTGATTAAGGTGGAGAGCCCAGAAGATAGTGGATAAGATAGAGGAGGCCAACCAGGATGGTAAAGGGTCAGAGGCTCTTAAGTTTAAAACTGAAAGGGAACTTTTTTGTTCAGTCATTTCAGTCCTGTCTGACTCTTGGTGACCCATTTTGGGGTTTACTTGGCAGAGATACTGGAGTGGTTTGCCATTTCCTTTTCCAGTTCATTTGACAGATGAGGAAACTGAGGCAAGCAGGGTCAAGTGACTTGCCCAAGGTCAGAAAGCTAGTACACGTCTGAGGACAAATTTGAACTCAGGTCTTTCTGACTCCAGCTCCCGAACTTTATCCACTTCTGGCACCCTGCTGCCCCTGAAAGGGACCTTAGATGCCATCTAATCCAATCCTCTCATTTACATAATAATCAGAGTTTTCCAAAAGGGACTTGGTCTGTCTCTGGAGTCATAAGTTGCCTGCACTGGGAAGACTTCAAGCAAATGCTAGATGGCCACTTCTCAGGGATGCTTTAGATGGGATTCATGCTCCTACCAATTCAAAGTCTATGATTCTGTTACCCAGTCCAAGGGGCAGCTAGGTGGCGCCATAGTGAATAGGGCTCAGGGCCTGGAGTCAGGAAGACTCATCTCCCTGAGTTCAAATCCAGCCTCAAACACTTACTAGCTGTGTGATCATGGGCAAGTCACTTCACTCTGTTTGCCTCAGTTTCCTCATCTGTCAAATGAGCTGGAGAAGGAAATGGCAAACCACTCCAGCCTCTTTGCCAAGAAAACCCCAAATGGGGTCAATAGAGAGTTGGACATGATTGAAAACAACTGAACAACAGTCCATCAGGGTAAAGGTTTAATCAATGGATGTTAACATTGAAGGAAAAGTGGGCATAATTAAGGAGACCCCTGAAAAAGTAAGCGCTTCTTACTCATCAAAGATTTAGAGCTATAAGGGATCTTAGAAGTCATCTAGTCCTACCCCCATTTTGAAAGATGAGAAAACTGAGGCCTGGATAGATTAAGAGACTTGCCCAAGGTCATACAAGGAATGCATCAGAGACAGGATTTGAATCCAGGACCTCTGATGCCAGTGCTCTTTCCACTGTGCTCCACTACTTATTATCTGTGTATATTGTTTCCTCTAGTAGAGTGTGAATTCCATGAATTGAGGAACTGTTTTGTCTTTGTCATTGTATTACTACTGCCTGACATTTAGCAAATGCTTATCAAATTGCCAAAGATCACTCAGAGGGAAATCAATCTCCAAGCATTTACTATGGGTCTATTATACGCCAGACATTGTGGTAGACTGGGAGCTCCCTGAGAGCAGGGACTTTTGCTTCCTTTTGTATCCCCAGTGCTCAGCACAGTGCTTGGCACATAGTAGGACACTTAATAAATGTTTATTGCTTGACTGATTGCTGGGGATACTAAGAAAAAAACAATATTGCCCCATTAGAATGTGAATTTCATAAAGGCAAGGGTGGGTTTTTGCCTTTCTTTGTATCCCCAGAGATTAGCATAGTGCCTGGTACGAAGTAAGTACTTAATAAATGCTTGTTGATTGACTTCAAGGAGTTTACACTTTATCAGAGAAGACTTATATACATATATGTTTACACAAAACTGTATTCAAAATAAATGGAAGGTGATTTTTTGAGGGAAGGCACTAGCAGCTAGGGTGGGTGGATTGGGAAAGGCTTCAGGTAGAAGCCGAACTTTAACTAGCAATCCTAAGAGTTGGCACTGAGGAGGGAGTGCCTACCAGGCATGGGGGACAGCCTGTGCAAAGGTATGGCTATGGGAAATAGGGTGTCATAGATGAGGAACAGCAAGAAAGTCAGTTTGGCTAGACTGGCAAGAACATGTAAGGCTGGAACAGATGGCTGGAGTCAGATCGTGGAGGGTTTTAACAGAGAAACTATGGATTTGAACCCACATGCCCTACCCCCACTCCAAATCCAGTATTCTTTCCACTCTAACAGAATTTTTAGGCATAGCAAGACCGTCCTTCGGAAAGTCTCCTGCTGATCCCTGGTACTTTATAAAACTGAGGTTTTAGAACATCACCAGGTCCTCTGGGGAACAACATTGGCTAAGGCAAAAAAATATCCCAGACCATATATCCTACTCTTCCTGCCCCCTGCTGCTTCATGGCCCTGTATCCCTGGATGTTGGGGACTGAGCAGTCCCTGAAGGAGGAGCCAGTCCCTGAGTAGGGGCTAAAGTCTGTTAAAAAACGACGTTCCTGGAACCGTTCTAAGGTTTACAGAACACTTTCCTCGTGGTAAACCTGGGAGGGGAGTGAGAGAATGGAATATCATGCCCCTTTAACAAAAGGGGAAGCTGGAAGAACCCTGGACCAGTCCGGGAGCATGGCTACAACCAGGGTTGTAGATCTGCCAAAGAAAACCCCTACTAATGGGCAGTGACCTTGGGAAAAGCACTGGCTTGGGGGCCAGAGTTCTTCAATTAGGGCCCACAGATCCGAAGAAATCTTGGATAGACTTGGGAAGTTTGTGACCTTGGAAGAGGAAAAGAGATCTTTGTTTCAATCACGAGTGTTTCCTTTGTAGTCTCGTGTATTTTATGTACATTTGAAAACTCTGTTCTGAGAAGAGGTTTCACTATTAGGTTTCAGCAGATTGCCAGAGGAATTCATGACCCAAAAAGGGCTGAGAACCTCTGCTTTCGGGTCACTTGTCTGGTTTGGAGTCGTGACTGCCCCTTCCCAGCTGATGACACCTAGCCGTTCGGTGGAAAGAGGTAGCCGGGGGTCAGAGCGTCTGGGGTTCCAATCTTCACTCTTGAAGCTTATTATTTTTGTGACCTGCTGGGCTCATACCTACAGGGAGCAGACTCTGGAGGGGTGGGCCAGATCTAACTTTAGATATAACTTCAATCCAGTTGCTTCGCAGCTCGACGTCACAGTCAAATTGGGTAGGGGGATGATGGACTAGACGACTTCTAAGGTCCAGTCCAGCTATAAAAACCCTGAGCTAAGCCTCTCTCCTCTCTGAATCTCTGCTTCTTTATCTCCAAACCTGGGGGCAGGGAAAGCAGCAGGATGCTCGGGGAAACTCCCCAGTCGCTGGTGATGCTCGGGTGCTATCTCTACCTCGGAGCGTCTCTGCCGGGTCCCTGCCGGAGAAGAGCGAAGTGGGGGGGGGGGGGGGGGGGGGGGCGTGGAGGGGGGGAGGGGGGGAGCGAGAAGAGCTGGTTATTTTAATGAACTGAGTCGGAGACGTCAAGCGGAAGAGAGCCGGGCTCGCAAGCTTTAAATGGTATTTGTTGTCATCTGAGCATGCTCCCGTGTGGGCAGGCGGGGGCTATATAAGCGAGGGAAGCCGGCGACCTCGAGGCAGACGCAGCGGCGGCGGCGGCAGAGCCCGGTAGGAGTGAGGGCAGCGGCACAGCAGCCGGATCCTACTGGCAACGAAGCGGTACCGGCGGCGGCAGCGGCAGCAGCAGCCGCCGCAGGAGGAGGAGGAGGAGGAGGAGGAGGAGCCGCCAGCCCCAGCATCAGCATCAGCAGCAGTGAGAAGGTGCCCCGAGCAGCCTCCGCACTCCTCTACGCTCCCAGCCCGTGCGAGGGCGCCCCAAACAGTCGGCACAGCGGACCCCAGGCGGGGAGGCGCTCGCCGCGGGCGCCGTTGACCCCCGTAGCCCCCCGCGGGCCGCCCCTTCCCGCTCGCCCGCCGCCCCGGCAGCAGATTGGATCCCCCGGCCGGCGGACGTCGGGCCGCGCCCCGGGGGGAGCCGCTGGTTCCCAGCCCTCCCGGCCCGGGGGGCGTCCGCGCCTGCACGCCGCAGCCCGCCCCCGGCACCTCCCCAGAGCCCGGTCCCGAGCCAGCCCGCGGCCCGATGGCAGCGGCGGCGGCAGCCGCGGCGGCTAAGCCGCCGGAGCTGATGGGCATCTGCTCCAGCTACCAGGCGGTCATGCCTCACTTCGTGTGCCTGGCCGACGAATTCCCGCAGCCCGCGCGGCCCACGAAGCTGCCCCGGGGCAAGGGCAAGCTGCGGCGGCCCCGCCAGTCGCGCTTCAAGACCCAGCCGGTGACGTTCGACGAGATCCAGGAGGTGGAAGAAGAGGGGGTGTCGCCCATGGAGGAGGAGAAGGCCAAGAAGTCCTTCCTGCAGTCGCTCGAGTGCCTGCGCCGGAGCACCCAGAACCTCAGCCTGCCGCGGGAGCAGCTCGGCAGCTGCAAGATGCGGAACAGCCTGGACTCCAGCGACTCGGATTCGGCTCTATGAGACGGCCCCTCCCGCTATTCCACTCCCCAGCGGCGGCGGCGGGCCGGCCGGCTGGCCGAGGACTTGACTTGGCCCCAGCCCTGGGGGGGCCGAGCCCCTGGTCTCTGCTCCTGCACTGGCCAAGCTGCGAACTCGTTGCCCTCCTCCGGGCGCTTATCCCGTGCGGGGACCTGGAGCCAGGCGGGGCAGCTGCCGGGGCTAGGCAGTCCAGGGGGCCAAGGGAAGGGCTCCTCCTCCCCCTCCCCCGTTTTCTTCTTTTCTTTTACTCTGCCTAGTACAAACCCTGCTGTGAACGTGCCTGGTTCTAGGAGCAGAGAGAGAGAGAGAGAGAGAGAGAGAGAGAGAGAGAGAGAGAGAGATTGGGACATTTTCTAGGAAAGTCGCTATGTATTTGTCTTTGATTGGAGGGAGCTCCGGTTTCCATCTATCCCACCCCCCTTTCCTGGCTCCCCAGTACTTTTCTACCAGCCCATCGCCACAGATGGAATTTGGGCTACCGCGAAGCTTCCGGAGTCTATTTATTTTTGCATTTCAATCGTAAACTGCATTTATTTAATACTCTTTCTACCTGGATGTGTCTGTGAGGTTTCCAGAACAGAGAAATAAAACCATATATTTGCACAGTGCATTCGTTATTCTGAGAGTGTCTGTCCGTCTAACTGGCTGTCTGCAGCTCCCTGCTGCTGGGCGTGGTGTGCGTGCGTGTGTGTGTGTGTGTGTGTGTGTGTGTGTGTGTGTGTGTGTGTGTGTGTGCGCGTGTCTGCGCGCGCGCGCGCGCGCGCGGTGGGAGGCAACTGGGGCCAACGGTCCTTGGAGAGACCAGAGTTGAGGGAACTGGGCGGGGCTGGAGGGGAGATATTGACGAGGTCCTGTCCATTCAGTTGAAAGCTTGGCCTTCCACACTCCCCTACGTCCATCCCAGTGTTGATCCAAATTAAACCCAAGCCCCGTCCTACCTTTGGGATAAATAAATCTGTCCTAGATCGAACTTCCTCTCGATAGGGTCGGGCGCCTGGCCCAAGGAGCTGGGCGCGAAGTCCCTTACCTGATCTAAGAATAAGAGTTGGCATGTGTGAAGCGTTTTACAAACGCTGTCTTACTTGAGTCTCAGTACAGCCAAGTAAGGTAGGAGCTTCATATATTACTTTCATTTGACAGATGAAGGAACTGAGGCTCTGGGAACAAGCACTTGCAGTGCGTTTAAGTGTGGGTCTCTGGAGCCCCAGGGAGGATGCCTGAGGGCAGTGGGCTTCCAAGACAGAATTTTGGCCCTGAGTTCTAATCCCAGCTCTGACCCTCCAAGCTGTGTGACTTTTGACAAACCCCTTCATTAATCTGGGCCCCATTTTCCTCTTCTACCAAATGAGAGCATTGATCCACAGGATTTCCAAGGTGTCTTCCAGCTCTGACCTTTCTGGTAGAGAAGTGATGCCCACCCACTCTTGTGGTGGTTGAGTTCCATCTCAAAACGGGTGAGTCGGGAGGACCTGCAGACTGGTTTCCTCTCAAGGAAACAACTCTCTCATCATTCCAGCTCTACTGGGGCAGAGAGCCTGAGATGCTGCTCTTGGGAAGCCCAGCTGGTCTGGCCTGGAAGACTAGAAGCCTAGGAAGATGGCACGTGTCTGGGGGCCCTCCAGGGAGTTACAGTCCTGGAGACCTGGGCCTGAGCCACTCCTTTTGGTCAGGGTCTGTCAACTTTTCTTAATGCTGACTCAGTGGAAATGCAAAGAACAGCTGTCCTGGCTTCTTTTCATCCTCTCTCTCTTCTTCCTCCCCTACTCTTTCTTTGCTTGTGATTCTTAAGGTTGATCATCACACAGAGAGGTGTCCCTGCCTGCCTAAGGATGGCCAGTAGGCAGCCTCTGGGCACTGCCTGCCCTCAGTTCCTATCCAGTTGTCTCTCAGTGTCTCAGACGCCCAGTTCTGGTGCTGGACATCTGTCAGTCAACTGCTTACAGTCTGGCTCCTTCCCCTGGGATTCTTGGGGAGAGAAGCGCCAGAGACCCTGGAGTTCCCTCACTTTCAGCAGCCCCAAAACCTCTCGGGGCAGGGAAGCAAGCAAGCCCCTCAGTTGAGGGCAGAAAGCAGATAATTAGCCAAGTGACAGGGGAGTTGGGAATTGTATGACATCAACGCTGGCTAAGTCCTCAGGGTCTACAGGGCTATTGATTCCCCAGGGACCTCAGACCCATCTCCTCTTCCCGACCCCCATTCTAAGCCCTACGCTAAGCTGGCTTGTTGAATGGAATCCCCCAACACCTTCCCTGGGGCTCCAAAGACCCAGACTGAGAGGGATTTGGCAGGCCTGTTCCTGAAGAGGACTGATCACTGCAGTTCCTTCCTAGCCTACCCTAGGATTGTGGGTAGGGGTTTGTGTATGTGTGTGTGTGTGGGGGGGTGGCAGCGCTTGTTCTCAGGCTGGTCCTTCCAACTCTCATTGACCTGATTTAACTATAACCCTGTTGGCTGCTCAGGTGATAGGAGAGCAAAGAAATGCCTCCAGGGAATGTTATTTTTCCTCCTGTTGTAGTCAGTTAAGCATTTATTACCAGATGCCCATTCCATCCCTCAAGGAGCCTCAGAAAAAAATGGAAGTCATTTGGATGGATAGATGTAGATGTTGTGGGGGGGGCTAGGCAATGGGGTTAAGTGACTTGCTCAGGGTCACACAGCTAGTAAATGTCAAGTGTCTCAGGCTGGATTGGAACTCAGGTCTTCCTGACTCCAGGGCCAGTGCTCTATCCACTGAGCCACCTATTTTGTCTCCTCATCTTTGGATGCTAAGCCCTGGGGTGACACAAAAAGAATAGTATCATTGCCTCAGAGCTGGAAGGGGCCTTAGAGATTACAAATTTATCTCATTTGTATCCTTTGAGCCTCACAACAACTCTGGGAGGCAGGTGCTGTTATTGCCCCCTTTTTGTAGATGAAGAAACCGCAACAGGCAAAAGTTAAGTGACTTGCCCAGGATCACATGGCTAGTAAGTATCTGAGGTACCATTTGAACTCGTGTCTTCCTGACTCCAAGTCTAGCACTCTATGCACTATGCCACCTGTATCTAGGTGCCAGTACTTAGATTTAGAGCTGGAAGGCACCTCAAAGGCCACCTACCCTAATCTTATTTCCCAGAGGAAGGAGAATGCCACTGTTTATTGCTGCACTTTTCCCTCTCCACCTTCCCATTCCATTCTTGCTCTGGAAACTAGTCAAATCATTACTACCATTGCTTCTGGAAAGAGTGTGCCAAATGATGGCCCCATATCCACACTCAATATCCCAGTGACTCCCCAGACCAAAACTCCCATTGCACCATCTATGCTACCTTAGCATATCAGCATGTAAGCTCTTTGAGAGCAAGGATTGTATCTCTTATATTTGTATTACCAGAGCTAAGTCCAGTGCCTGGTACATAGTAGGTGCTTACTAGATGCTTTTCCATCCAGTCCATTCCTTTCATTTCATTCATTCAGTATGGCAGTGAAAAGCTAACCCTGGGCAAGTCACTCAAGTAGGACCGAGTAAAGGTGGAGAACTGGATTCTAGTCTGGGCTGGATGACTTTGGATAAGGCTCTTGGCCTCTCTTGGCTTCAGTTTCCCCTCTCTAAAAGGAAGGGGTTAGCCTATAAGATGTCAAAAGGTCCCTTCCTATTCTAATAATCTATGATTCTTTTATCTACTGCCTTCCACCCCATACAAAAACTGGCAACTGGTGATACAACCTTTCAGGGAGGCAGAGAGTAGTGGTTTAACTGTTGTTCTGGCCACCTAGAATAACATAGATCTAGCTGTCCAAAATTGAAACGTTGTTATTGGGTCATGTCTGACTCTTTGTCACCTCATTTGGGGTTTTCTTGGCAGAGATACTGGAGTGGTTTGCCATTTCCTTCTCCAGCTTATTTGACAGATGAAGAAACTGAGGCATATAGGGTGAAGTGACTTGCCCAGGGTCATACAGCTAGGTAGTGTTTGAGGCCAGATTTGAACTCAGGTCTTCCCGATTGCAGGCCCTGCATTTTATCCACTGCATCACCTATCTGACCCCAAAGTGAACCTGCCTCCGTATGTAGTGAGCTCATCATCACTGGAATTCTTCCTTCAAGAGAGTACAGCAGCTGACCACCATTTGAGGCTGTTTTAGAGTCAGTTATGATCAGGGTAGGGAGGGGTTGGGCTGGATGGCAAGTGAGATCCTTTCCCTCTCCACGTCTATAAGATTCTGAGCAGGCTCTTTTAGTTATGATTGGGGGGGGGCAAAGGAAGGAGGAAAGGGCGGAATGGGGGGCTGTCTCATGACAAGAATGGGCTAAACCAAACCATTTCCTGTAAATATCTCAGTCACATGAAGCAGCTACCACTGATCCTTTGATTTCCATCTCTGCTGTTGTTCTAAGGGGAGATTAGTTCAGAGGAAGTTGGGGGGGGGGTTGGATAATGATAGTGATCATTTCCACTTCAAATTCTAAACTTTGTGATGTGCTTTGCTCACAACACTCTACCTGTCTGATTGAGTAGTGCGAATTATGCCCCTTTTTAAATACATGAGGAAACTGAGGCTCAGAGGTTATGAAGAAGGGTAGACATTTATATAGTGTCTACTATGTGTAGGCACAAATCAGGTTGAGGGTAACTGTTGTTGGGTTTTGGTCATTTTAGTCATGTCTGACTCTTTGTGATCCCTTGGGGTTTTCTTGACAAAGACATTGGAGTGGGTTGCCATTTCCTTTTCCAGCTCATTTTACAGATGAGGAAACTGAGGCAAACAGGGTTAAGTGACTTGCCGAAGGCTGGACAGCTGGTAAGTGTCTGAGACAAGATTTGAACTCAGGAGAATGAGTCCAGATGTACTCCAAGTACAGCACTCTATCCACTTCACCACCTAGTTGCCCCCTGAGGGTAACCGACAGGCCTCAGACCTGTCGGTCTGAGGGGCAAGTTAGGGGGATGTCTACCTCAAGTGTGTGAAGACTCCCCCGATCTTCCCCAGTGGAATGTGGATGAGAAAAATCTGTTCCAATCGCCATGGAGCGGGTGCTGTGGAGTGCTTAGAGCTTGGTCAGACATTGAAGATGCCAAAGCCATCCACTGCATCCTGGGCCATCCATCACCAGTCATCTTGGCTTTGGTCTTGCCATTGGACTTCAATGACTCTGGAAAAGAGAGTGAGGTTGATGACTTTGTATGGCTCTACCTCACTTAAATCCAATTCTCAAGCAAGTCAAGACATCACCCCCAGATATCACTGGTCCTCTTCGAAAACAAAGAACAAGCAAAAACAAAATCTATATGATATAAACATAGTGTAGATTTTAGAGTCCATCCTCATTTTTACAGAGGGGGAAACTGAGGATTAGAGAGAAGTAACTTATTCAAGGTCACACAGATAATAGTATCAATGACTTAATACTCAAAATGGATAATATTGTTAAAAAAACTCAAAAAAGAAAGAGGGCAATGTTTAAACAAAAGAGAACTCACTTTGATTGCTGTAATACTGGTATGTTGCTTCTCACTCCCCTTCTCCCTTTCCCCTTCCCTCATCTCACCAGTTAGGAAATCTCTCTTCTGGGCAGAATAAGGAGGAAAAGAACAGCCATCCCTACCCCCTTCAGTCCTACCACACA